TCCAGCAACTCATGATGAAGAAAACTGCTCAGGGCATTTATGTCAGATTTGATAAAACTTCTGCTAAAGCATCCTTTCAAATAGGTCAGAAGTTTTAATGGTAAATCTATCAGACGTTTTTTCTGAGGTCATGAACTGTGAAGAATTTGTTCCTTCTGGCTGTCAGTAGGTCTGCTCTTCTGGAAAATAGAAGCAGTACTTGGGTAAGGATACAGCTTTCCTCTGGGACACACACATACCACTTCATCTGATTTCACTGGGGCTTATGAAGTTCACCTGAGGTTTTAATGAGTCCTCTAATAATTAATTGTAAGGATTTTTTAGGTTAACTTTAACTGTTCCACTAAAAAGTTCAGATACAGAACCATTTATAGTAACAGCCCAAGCAGCAGAAAGCCATCAGTCTCTTGTCGCCTGGTATAGTAGTTACAAATACACGAATGGCAGCCGCCTGCTGAGGTTAAAGCGGGAAAGATATTACACATGATTTCTCTATCTCCTCAATTCTGTGTTTGTGAGAAAGTTGGCTTCTGTTTTCCATAAAAAATTGCAGATTCAGTCAAGCCAGCATCCTGTGCCTTTGCATGACCTCTTAAGTTACACAGGCATTGATATCAGGGGCCAAGAGCTAGGGGAAAACTTGACCCACACCATACCAGAGTGAACTGGGATCACTGAATGCACAATTTGTCCTGTTATTTGCTACATTACAGATGAGTATGAAACATTTGTGTGCCTATTCTAATGGTGCACACAATTGTGTAGGTTAGATTGTATTTTAATGTTAACCTAATTTTGCACAGTGAATAAAAAATGAACGTCTTTCCAGATTTGATGACAGGATTTCATTGCCAAAACACAAGTATTGCTCTTCAAGAACTTAACTTCATAGTAGGTTCAGAGTTTTGCAAATGATGCCTCAAGTTCTGGTCTTGGTGCTGTATACTGCACTTTTATATATACTCCTTCATACTGACTTTCTGTTTACTTAATAGAAAGGTACTTAGCTTTTGGAACTTTACAGTTTTTGGCACACTAAAAGAAACCAACCTGCTTTATTAAATTCATGATTGAAGGAAATCACTCTAAGCCTAATAAGATTTATGTGTTTCCATTCAGTGTCAGCAGGGAGTCAGATTAAATCAAGGCTGAAGGTCTCAGCTGCATTCAAACCCTTGATCAAGCTACTAATGCTTCAGTTGGAAAAGTATGACAAGATGATTAGATGATTTAAATAGCCCTTTTTTATTAAAATGATTTAAATAGTGCTTTTTGAGATGACAGATATCATGAAAGAAATTATTTTTGCAGCAGAAGTATGTATTTCTTATAATAATATTAATAAAATGTGGTGTCATGGCTTAACTCCAGCTGGAAACTAAGTACTGCACAGCCATTGGCTCACTCCCCTACCTCACAGTGGGATGGGGAGGAGAATTGGGAAAAGGTAAAATCTGTGAGTTGAGAACAACTTACAAATTTATATAAAATAGTATATATATATATATATATATATATATATATATATATATATATATAATACTAATACTGATAATAATGATAATAACAACAAAATAATAATATTAATTCTAGTAATAATAGTAATGAAAAGGGAGATAACAAAAAGAGAGGAATACAACCCAGGAAAAACAAGTGTTCAGTACAATTTTTCACTGCCTGCTGACTGGTACCCAGGCAGTCCCTGAGCAGTGATCAGCCCCTTGTGCCAGCTTCCTGCAGTTGGTGAGCTGAGTGTGATGTTCTCTGGCCAGCTCAGGCCAGCTGTCCTCGCCATGCTCTCTCCTGCCATCTTATGCACCTGCTCACTGTCAGGGCATGAGAAACTGAAAAGTCCTTGACATAGAGTAAGCACCACCGGGCAACAACTAATCAACATATAATCAACACATGATTTGTCAAGTTTTTCAATGTGGTTGTCTAATGAAAAGAATAATTTATTTTGTTTTGTATGGTTACCTGTTACACAGGTTATCTATTACAAAAGACATAATACCTGATGTTTACACAAAGTTATCCTCAAAGCATTTTACAAAAGAGATCTGTGTGATTGTCCCTTCTATAAATATGGAATGGAATGTATTTAATGTTGCAGTTATTGAATGATATGCTGGGATTTCAATATCTGTTCTGATCTAGAGTGACTAATGAAGAGTCACCTACCTTTTGAGGTCTTCTTCTGTGGGATCTCAGGATTTGAGTCCTGGGATGCCGGGCCCCCGAGACCACCCTTGGGGGGCCCGGGAGCCCTGGAATGTTGCCAGAAGTGTCTGGTGGCAGGACTTTGACCCTACACGGGAGACGACACCTTTATGAAGATAAGAGGGCCTCACCGGGTGAATGGTGAAGAGATTAGCTAATTAGAGGGTGAGAAACAGGGTTTAGGATTTATGTACAGGGGGGTTTAGAGGAGTAAGATGGAGGAATTGGGGTGTGTCCTGCCCTCCTTCTTCTTCCTCCTCTCCTCCACCTTCTTTGGCCACGGTGGCACCTTTGGATTGGTTATTACTGAGAGTACACCGAGTTATAAGAATAGATGGTATTGGGGAAAAATGATAAATATTGTATACGTAACAAGGGGTATAAAGATACGTGGTGGTCCGGGGGACGGCACAGTGTGCCCATGGCTGACTGCTGAGCAGATCTTTGTTCGGCTGAAAGAACATCTTTTAGATAAACAATTAATAAACACAAAAACCGAAAGAAGAACTGAAGCCTCTTCTCGTCCTTCAATACGCGGGCTGCCCCAAGGCCACCCCGGGCCTCTCCAGGCCTCACAAACAGCCGAGATAAACCGGACATTCTTCCACAATTAATGTTTGAGTATAGCTAAAAAGAAGGAGCCATTTAACAACGCTGAGCATTTGGAAGAATTTTTCTTGTACCATTTGGAGATTAGATAGTGTTAATTGGTGTTCATTCATGAGGAATGGTCCAAAAACAGCCTGTGAAGGTCTACAAACTGACTCAGCCACTTTTCCTTCCAAGGTAAGACCAATGGTGCACCAATGCTTTAGTACCTGGTGCATACATGAGACTTATAGTCAAAGATGGATGTCAGATGGATGCTGGATTTAGAAACATGTCCTTTACAGTTTTATTGGAATTAAATGTATCTTCATTCTACTGCAATGTATGCAAATCATTGCATACATTGGATTCTAGGCCACTAAGAGCCTACTGAAGAAATCCAGGGAAATTGAGTGAAATCTTGGGAATCTTATTTTCATGGGTTCATGTGATGACAGTATTATATTTCTGATAAAGCACACACTTTGAAAGCCAAAATTATTAATATACCTTTTGCCTCTATGTCTGCAAACCAAAACTGCAATCCCTGACAGTAAGTCTGGGAGCTATCTGTAGATAATGGATCCATTTGTAATTAAGTCAAAAGATAAGCTAAGCATTAAGGAGGATGGTAGACATAAAAGGTTAAAATTTTCCTAAACTTTATCCAGGCTAAGCTCCTTTCTAAACCATGTTTCTCTTCCTTCATTAGCTGAGAGATCTTTGCTGGCTTTGTCAGTTTGAAATGTTGTGCAGCTTATTCCATAAGATGGGCACTGGTATAAAAAGAATGAAAAAATCAAACTCAGTGCTGGCAGCAAGGTATTTCCTAGTCCTCACTATGACTAAATGACAACCTGTGACACTGAAAGCTGGCAGTAAAGTAGATTTTACACACTTACTAGCCTTACTGAAATTTTATCCTCTGTTCTAAACTGGACTTTGTGCACAGGCATCAAACACTTGGCGTAGCAGAAACCAAGGACCAACCATGTGTTGCTAGAATTTTTCTGTACTGGAAGAGGTAGTAGGAAAGTACTTTTGGGATTCTCACATGGAGTACAAGTAGCCCTAACACTCTTCCAGACAAGATGGATGTGTAGGGTAGGGAAGATCATGGATTGACACCTCATTGGGGTAGAACTCTTCACATAGGAAAGGCCTTCTAGATACAAAGACATCATTGTTGATAATGTCATGGAATTGTCTGAACTGTGATCACACTGCTCCTGCCTGGGATAGCCTGGGAGATAAAAACTTTCCCTTTGCTATTAGCAAAGTGATAGCTGAGAACTCTCCTTATAACGTTTCAGGTCACTGAAACCTATTTTCCCCTCAATGGACACCTTAAGAAAAGGTGATGAGCAGGTGGACAAAGTGATTATGTAAAATATATCACTCAGGACTGTGTAGTCAAGGATCCTCTAATGAAGCAAATTTTTGTGGGCTGATATAAATTGTCAATCTTCTCCTTTACTGCTACTTGCCAGTTTGTTGTTGCTGTATAATATTATCAGTCTACCGGAGAATGTTGATATATAGAGATAAGAAGTTTCCATGGTTTATCCCAATCAGATAAATAGTGGTCATCTTAAATACAGTTCCCTCTTTAATTTCAAAGGTATGGGTACACAGTTATGTTTGGGCTGTAAATATTGCAAATAATGCAATGGCTGAAGCAAGAAATCACAAACACATTACATTCTAGATGCAGTCAAGTGAGTACTGACTGACAACTTACAGGTCTCCGGCAACAAATTCGATGTGATTCAGGACTCTCAATCACAGAAGTGTCTTAAAATATGTAAAAATGTCCCTTAGGAAGTACAAACATACAAGAATAATTTATTCTATATGTAGGAAGCAAGAAATTACATGTTTTATATATGTATAAAATGTTTATAATTATGGAAAAAGTGGGAAGGGTTAAAGGGATGGAAGTTAAAAGGAACTCTTTCTTTATGAGTGAATCAGTAACGGAGTACTTTGCAAAACTATCCAGTGAACTGAAGGAGCTTTCCAGCACTACTTTAGGCTACTGCCACAAAACAAAATACTTATGCAGCTATCTTGTTACAGGCTGTGAAATGTCATGTTTTTGTAGAACTTGTTTAATGATGAAGGTCTGGTTACAGAATTTCACTTCTTCCTGCATGAATATCCTCTTAACATGAGTGCCTTTTCTCGAGCAGCAGTCTTAGCTGAGGCTCTGCAGCGACTGGCCAAGCTCACCCAAGCGAGATAAGAAAGTTCTGGATGGCAGATGTCGGGAGCGAAGGCAGCTGCGTGGCGTGGGGCTGCCGTGGAAGGAGCAGCTGCTGCCAAGCCCTGTGAGCAGCGATGTGCTTGAGGTATGTGTGAAGCACAGGGTTCTGTGCTGCAGTTGAGGGCTGCTCTGATCCGTTCTGTGCTCACATATGAAATGTGTCTCCAAGTACCCGAGACAGAACTGGAGCAGTGTGAGACCAAGAAGCACACGTGCATCCCTAGCACCAAGCAGCCTTAGATAACTTGAATGGACTCCGAAGTGAGAGGAACTCATGTCTGCTGTGATAAAAGAGCCAAATGATTATGGGCTAGACTGATAACTGGCAGTACAGAGGCACAAGGTGGGCTCTGACACACACTGTGGCTGCCCTAACTTTAATGCTTACCCCTCCTATCCATATCCTCCTTTATCTCCCAGGGATGAATAAAGGGGAATCAGAGTCTGTCAGTGTCCGTCCCATTCCTGTCTCTTCAGAATCACACAGACCTCAGACTCAGTGCTCAAGAGCTTTTGAGATGCTAACTGCTAATTTACAAAGAGATAGGAAACTGCTGTGACTGTCAAATAAATAACAATGACACAATAATAGCAATAGATCCTAAAATGTCCTGGCTGTAGCTTATCTCTGTGACTTGCAAACTAAGTGGCATACACACCCACACAAACTCCTGAGCATGAGTAGGACAACACATGGTTCATGCTCACCCAGCCTCCTTCTTTGCTATCCACTCTCAGGGATCACCATTCTGCCTTCTAACTCCTTCAGTGTTTGAGGTTTTAATCTTTAATTCGTCCACATGTTGCTTTTTATTTGGTTAACAGTACCAACAGTAATGGATTAAGTGTCTTTTTTTAATAAGTTGCCATGATTGTTTATGAAATGTAATATCTGTATGGGACTTCTCTGAATATTTGCTTCTATGAAAGAGCAAAGACCACTGTTTGCATGTTGTCCACAAGTGTTAGTTGAAACAATAAGCTAATAGCCTTATCCATAATTCCAGAAGTCTTATTCTTCCTTTGTTTTTATGATAATGCAGAATTAAACACCCACATACAGAAGGGAACCCTCGTCTGACAGCGTTTGTCTCCTTCCAGAGACATTGCTTCCTAGTCCAGGTTGGGCAGCTGCTGCAGGTGAGCGCAGGGGCGCTTGTTCAAGTCCCCCAGTGTTGTACCAATAGATGGCTGCTTGCTCCTTGAGCCTGGCCATCCAGTGGGGCTGAAATCACTGCATTTATCCTGGCAATAGCAAATATGCCGTGCAGCTGACCTGTTATTGCACTTCATCTCTTGGACTACACACACAGGCAGAGACATGCTGCAGCTCTTCTTTGTGCTAAATGGAGGTGAGAGGGTGAGTGGAGGGACAGAAATTGCCATTGTTTTTAGAGTGATCACAGAAATGATGAAAAAAGGGCCATATGTTCAGATAAAATTTGAAATATCTTTAATTCAAACCCACATGACAATGAAGATAACCCCTCACCTACATATTTCATACAAAGTGAGCCAACAGAACAACGAGGATAAAAATTGCTGTACATCTCCTTGCTTAATCACTCTTCCCTGCAGCTGTGAACAACAAATTAGACTTTTTAACATTCAAAACAATTCTTTCCTGACAAATGCTGTCTGAAGAAGTTCCTGCAGAGAAGCCTTCTTTTCCTATGGAAAGGTTCAGGAATGATACTGGCTACTTGGATACGCAGCTGAGGCTCCTTAGTGACTGTAAATCAGTCCCATCTTGTTAATGTCAGTAAGGCTATGCTAATTTATGCTTGCTAAAGTACTCCAACCTGCCAACGGGCACCTGGTTAAATAGGCATGTTTAACCTGCTGGAGTTGCTCAGAAACAATTAAAGCAGCAGACACTCCATTCGATGTGGAAAGGCTGCACAGTTCAAGTCCATCTCTCCCTTCAGCACCAGCAGCATTTGGGTCCCCCTGCCAGTAAAGCCTCTGATGGAAATGTGAAGGCAGAGTGCTCTGGATGCCAGCAATGTGCACTAGGAGCAATTGAAGAAGGAAGCTGAAGGCTTGCTGAGACCTTGTCCTGCTGTGCCCTGTGCTGAATGATGTTATGATCCAAACTTACCCCATTATTATCCTTGCAGTCTATAAGGACTATTACTTTTGCCTTCTTGACCTGCCATATTTCCTTGGTCTCTTCTGTTCTTGGACAAATTTTCATTTTGTTTATCATTACAAAAGAAAAAATAGCAGAAAAATCATTACAGAAGAAAAAAAATCCCAAAAACCAAAACCACAGACAAAACAAAACAAAAAAGACAAAGAAACAAAAAATCCACAAACTCCACCAAAAAATAAAACAAACCAACCCCCCCCAACAAGAAACCCAACCGAGCAAACAAAAAAAGCCCTAAAAACCACCTGACTTGATGTTGCTATTGCTGCTAGCTCTGCTTACATACTTCATGCTTTTCTTCTCCTTTGTATTGTCTACTTGGATTGTACAGTCTGAGCATCGTTTTCAGCTAAGTGCTGTACAAATAACGGGGGCTAAATCTTGGTTTGTCCTCAGGCATTGCCACTACAAGAAAGGCATTTCAATTAAGAGCAGTATTGTAAAATTGTGCCTGTTCTTAATGACTGATTGTCTTTCCTAGGTCCTACCAACACAAACAAAGCAAAGAGAGATCAGAATACCCATTATGAACAATGCTTTCCGTGCAATCCTGCTATTTCATTTTCACCCACTTCTTTTCCATGCAAAATGTACCTTTTTAACAACAGTTAAATATTATCGTGAAACTAAGCAAAAAAGTATTATTCTAATGTGGCAAATTGTGCCCTTGCAGAACTGAAGACAGAAATGATAAAGGAAGCATATCAAGCAATTTGATTAATGCTTAAGATAATATACCACATGAAGGAATAGTTAAAAAAAAGAATACTGCAAATTTGCAATATAACTTCATGGTGGCAAGGTAGTTAATTTTTCTCTGGTAGTTAATTTTTCTCTGTTTTTTGCTTGTTTTGTTTGGTTTTTTTTTTTTCTTTTCATTCTTGTTAGCATCTACTTTTCTGTCTTTGCATGGGACACTACTTTCATACCAAAATAACAGTCTTTTGTTAGGGTTTTATGTGGGTTGTGAGATGATTTTGGTTGCTTTGTGTTCATGCCAGTGGTTGCTACTGTTCTCCTGACTGCAAATATTTAGTGGAAAGCTTTTACCTGGGCAATACCTTTAAAGAAACACATCAATTTGAAATGCTAGGGTACTCATTCACATGGAAAGGGAATGGAAGTATGGATGATTTTTGCAACTCAAATCAATGATATTCTGCTATCTTTCTTTATTAGATGGAGATATGAGACATCTCATCTAACTGTAAACACCCACACTGCAGATATCTCCTTTGACCAAATTATGCTAGTCCTTTTATAGTCAATGGAAAGAGCTGCCCTATCTTAGCCATTTCCTTTCAGATGAGAGAGATTGCACCTTCTCAGTGCCTGTTTCTCCCTCTTAGCTCTAAAGGCTGTTTAGCCTACAAGCTCAGATGGGGAGGTTTGCATTACAGATATTTGTATTTTGTGAACTCAGTCCTTTTCCTTAGTGTCAGATCTGTAAGAATTGAAGAAAATGCACAGTCTGGAAGACCTCACAATGTATAAATTGCTCCTTCTGTGCATGCCAGGCTTGGACCAGAGCTGAGTCACAGCTTCTGAGTTTGAGGCAAAATGAAAATTTCTGTGCAGTGGGAAGGACAGTCAGAGCAGGGTCTGCAGCAGAAGAAGGAACAGGGCAAAGTTGGAAAATTTAGAGGACTTGGCTTAATCCTCACAGCTCTCACCCCACGCTCTGACACCTCCCTTGGCTGCAGCAGGCAGCCTGGTCTCCAGCCCTCTGGCACAGGGAATCCAGCTCTGAGCCCCGGGCCTTTGTGACACCTCTGCTGATTGCTGCTCCTGGTGTCCCTGACATGAGCCAGCTTCGACCTGAGACAAGAAGAGGAACACCTGCTTCCAGACCAGGTGTTCTCAGGGATAAGTCCTCTTTCCTCGTTCATCTGTCCAGCTGCAGGCTTTATCTGCCACTTGCTTGAAAGACTGTGATAAGCAGCAATTAGTAGAAGGTAGCACAAGCAGGCATCTGCCTCCCTTAGGAATGAAGGCAACAAAATATTGTGAAGGAATTTGCTTCCCTTAGAAACTTAATTCTATTTAAAGACCTTCTTGTCATTTCAATAACTAATCTCAGGAGGAGGGATGTGGCTTGAGGGTTATGGGAACAGTTAATTCCTGACTGCCACTTACTCCTTATGAAGAGTAAATCCTTCATGGTTCCCTCTTCCTCAATCCCTCTTTCACTCTCTCAAAGATGTCTTAATTTAATATAATAGTGAATATTAAGGACTATATAATTTTTTAGAGGTCATGTTAAGACTCACAAATCCAATGCAGGAGAGAAATTATTACTATTTTGTATGTCTATGACCAAGAAACCACTATGGGAATGTTTGTGGGAATTAAATTATAGGTCAAATTCACAGCAGAGTCTCAGAGGTGACAGAAAAGCCCAAAATACTTGTTTAAATAGTTAAAGAATTATGTCTACTTTTCTAGTCTGTAAATCTTTACATTTTGCATTTTTTTTTTTAATTTTAAAGATATTTTTTTATTCAAACAAAAGAGATTCCACAAACAAGGACATAAACATATTTGTGTTCTGAGCCGGTCTGAACCAATCTTTTTCATGAAACCTAAAAGGCCATTATTCATAAAATTGTACTTAGAAAAACTGGAGGCAGATGAGAGAAACACTTTTCCCCCAGGCTCCTTGGAGACCAGTGAAGCTGCTAGTAGCTTGCTTTAATGCAGAACTGGAAAAGGGCTCTGCCTACCCACACAGTGTAGCTGTATTTATCTGAAAGTCTTCCTATTATTTGCCTTGGATACAATTAATTATTTTGTACCTAAGGTGTTCTGTGGCATACCATTACATCACATTAGCCTTGTGCTTGACATCAGACTGATGCAATGTGATACATTAGGAGTTCTACCAGAGCTGTTTTAATTAGGCAAGGTATTTCATTCACTTAGTGAATATTTGCT